GGCTGGGAGCTGTGGAGCCATTAGCAGAAAGAGGGTCAGAGGCGACGCTGCTGCAGGGATGAGGCGCCAAGCTTCATTTTAGGTGACTTCGAGGTGACTGTGCACCCCTACCCTAGAAATGCCAAGTGCGCCATTGGAAAGGGGTGACTGGAGCTGGCGGTGGGGGCAGGGGGGGCGCTAAGAGCGTCACGAAGTGCCTCCGAGCAGGGTGGCTGTGGTGCCTGCAGGGGGGTGGGATCATCTGTGTGGGGTGACAGAAGCTTGAGAGGGGACGTGGAAGGCTCCCCATCTATCCTGGACTTTGGAGTTTAATGTGGACATTTGCTAGAAACTGTAGTTAAACATTTAAAATAAAAGCGTCCTGACTTAAGATCTTTTATTTTTTTAATAGATTTATTTATTTATACAAGCACTGGGTACAGTCAGAAGCGCGGGAGGGTGAGAGAATTCACCAGAGCCAGAGTGGGGAGCAGAACAGGCAGACTGACGAAATCCACTGCTGAGGGAGCAGCGGGCGTGACAGGAGAGGTCTGCTGAGCCATGTGGGACCCTCGCTGGCCGGCGGGGATCGAACCTGCGCTGCAGAGGCTGCGGACAGCTTCACAGCGCTGTACTCAACTGTGTGTGCTACCAGGGGAGGCCCCTATATTGAATTCTTTAGTTCAGTCATTGAAGTTTTCATCTCTGGGACTTCTAGTTTTTCTTTTTTTTTTTTGGAGGGGGGGCAGTGTTTATATTTGTTGAGCTTTTTTGTCCTTACATTGTTTTCCTAATTTTGTTTAATTATCTGTGCTTTTGCAGTTCACTGAACTTTATTAAGAGGATCATTCTGAACTCCTTGACAGCAGATCTCTGTTTAGGGTCAGTTAAGAGTTTTATTAGTCTTCTTTGGTGGTGACATGTCTACTTGGTGTTCTGCGATCCTGATTCATTATGTTGGTATCTGTGGGGCCCATTTTCCTGGCTTTACTTGCTTCCCTTTGGCAGAGGCAGTTCTTCGCCAGGCAGCTCAGTTTGGGTCTCTGCTGTTGTTGATGCTCTTTGGGCAGGTGGGGCTTGCTAGCTAGGTCTGTTTGGGGTTAAAGGCGCTGTCCAAGCTCTGAGGCTGGGGGTCCGCACCTTCTGCTTGAGTGTTGTGGGGCTACGCAGCTTCCAGGTGCCCCTGTCAAATGTGTTTAGGAGGGGCTGGGAACTACACCCGGCAGTGGGAAGGGCTATGACTCAGCTCCCCTGCCCGGGCAGGGTCATAACAGTCTCCAGGGCCAGCAAATCTCATTTGAGGACTCAAACTGGGCAGAATCTTCATCAGACCAAGTTCCTTGGCGACGCTGTGCCACACCTTGGCTCAGCAGTTGAGAAGTCTGCTGCGTGGGACTGCTTGGGTCCTGCAGGTAGGAACTTGGTCAGCTGAGGGCTAAGCACTGGCTGTTGCAAGCCCCTCCCTGCTTCTCTGTCCCTGTCAGGTTCCCAGTGTCAAGTCCCACAAATCCCCTGCAATGCCTGTAGGAGAAGACCAGAGTAGGGGCTCCCAGGAAGTGGCCCACAATCCAGAGGCAGCTCGATGCTCACCTGCCCTCTTCTCCCACTGGAGGAGTGAACTGGACAGACTGAGGGAGACCGGGCGGGGTGGGCAGTGCCAGCCTGGGGCGGGGTCGATGTGGCCATCATGTATTGGTTCTCATCTTTCTAACGAGGTCCGTATTGGTCTCTGTTGTTTCATCCAAGTGTCTCTATTGGGCCTCTTCAGAGACTAAGCCTGCAGACCCCAGCTGCTGAGGTGGGAATGGGGCATCGAGTACGGAGGCCTCGAAGGGCCCGTTCCCAGGCGTAGAACAATTTTCACGAGTCCTCCTTATTCTGACTATGTGTCTTCCCATGGATGGCGCTGTCAGCTCCTGGGGCTTTGTAAGTTTCTGTGGCGTAAATCGGTATCGATTGTGTCAGCCGTAAAAATAAAAAGATGCACTATTTTAACTTTAAAGTGAGTTTATTCAGGAATAACAAGAATGGCAACTCGGGGCTGGCAAACCATGGCGAACACATAGGTGAACTCACGCCGGGAAGGCTGCTTCAATGAGAGTTCATTGGAGAAAAGTGGGAGTTGAGGGTTTTATGGCGTCTCATTGGCTGAACTGTTGCTGGCCAGGGGGAAACTGTCTGGCGGTGTCTGCAAGCAATGCCCAGCGCTAGCGCAGGAGAGCTTCCCCTGCTGGTGCTCCAGCTCCTGTGAAATGAGGTTGCCTTTAATTTATTTCCACTGCTCTGAACCTTCTCCACTGCCCAGCCTCAGCTGCTAAGTGAGGTGCACCTGTCTCTCTGCTTTATGGCTTCCAAGATCTTATCACTTCTATCACTTCTTTTGTTCTTCCTGTCCTTGTGGATTTATGTGAGCTGTTCTTTAATGTCCCCTTTAGTCTTGTGTGAGCTTTGGGTGAGAACAAAACTAGATGTGTTTAAACCCAGAAGCTTCCATGCTTTCCTAGAACAGTAGCTTGAGTTACTTGGTTTGTTCTATCTTGAAATAGATTGATTGCCTGGGTTGTCTTCATGTTGCTGCTGCCCCCAAGTTCTTAGGGCCCAGGCCATGCTGTGGTGGTCACCACAGCCAGCCCAGGTGTGTACCAGGTCATTGCTGTGTTCCTCCAACAATGAAATGCCCTAGAGACATGTCTCGGAGCACAACCCTGTGGTTAAGCGCTGTGGCCGTTCTTGGGTGTTGCTCTTGGCTGTATTTTTGCATCGCGTAATGTTTCGAAGAAGAGCTCGTTGGTGCTTGTGCCAAGAACTGGTTGGCGGCAGGTGGGCTGGCGAGCATGCAGCGTCTGCTAGGAAACACAAATTCAAGGAAAAAAAAAAAATCCTTTTCCAACTCAACTGCCAGCCCCTCTATTTTAGAAACCCTGGTGCCACCATAGCTCACCGGTATTAGTCTTTGAACCTGCAAGTTGGCAAACGCAGCCTTTCTACCCAGCTTATCACTGGCACTGGGGCCTTGGCTAATTAGTTGTTTGGGGTTTGGTTTTATGAAACGCAGCCATAATACCACCTCAGAGCATTGTTGGGTGGCACTACCAGGTCTGCACGCTCAACAGATACCACTTCCCTCTCGCCCCAGTGTGCCTCTTCTTCTCTCCCCTTATGTGCTGCCCAGCACCCAAACATACAGTGCTGCAAAACTGTGCTAAGCTAGACAGAGGCAAAGCTGAGTGCCAGGCCAGCCCTTCCCGGGTGAGGGGTTGGCAATGCTAAGCCTGAGGCAGGGGCCCCTGGGCCAAGCCCTGTGCAGGGCCTCCCCTGGTGAAGGGCTCTGCCTGCAGGCAGTCACGCCGGCAGAGAGAAGGCAGCTCACCTCTAACCTCAGAAGGAGCTGCTCACGCTCCAGGGCCTCAGTGGGCTGAGCCTGACGATGATGGGGCCTTGCGGTCTCGTTCATGGTCGGGCTGCTGCCTTGAGCGGAAAAGGCCCAGCAGCCAGGCTGCTCCTCCCCCAGCCCGGAAGTGGGTTAGGACAGGAGACTTGGGGACGTAGAAGGGGCACAGAAGCCGGCGTGGACGAGTGCTTGTGCCCACCGTAAAGCTCTTCCAGCTGTCATGTCAGTAGCTGCCGTGGCAATGGGGCAGACCAGAAGGAGCCTCGAGGGGCCTGCTGGACTGCGGTGCCTGCTGACCAGACCATTAAGTAGTTATTAAAGAGGACGGAGGAGGTCTGCGCGTGCTGACTGGGGAAGATGCACCTGTTTTATTTGGAGTGAAAAAGTTGGCGAAGCAGCAGGGCCGGTGACGAGTCCCCGCAGACCCGGTCGCAGGCGTGCGTAGGGAGGGAAGGTTCACTGGCGCGGGCCACGCTGTCTCTGGTGGTGGGGTTTTAGGTTGTTTTATTTAAGTTTGTTAAAATGAGCACATGAGTTCTCAGACCCGGCGATGAAATGGTCAAAAAAGCACCCCCTCGATGGGCTTGCTGGCCCCCACTACCTGCGGCTGGGGACGGAGGTGAGTTGTGAGGAGGAAGACGGTGCAGACGCACCGCGCCACACCTGCTAGCCTTGTCTTTAAATGGTGCGAACAAAGGGGATGCGGGCTGGGCTCCTGGGGCCCTATCCTGTGCGCGGGGGGTCACTCCAGGGGTGTTCTGGCTGGCTCGGCCCCATCTGCGACCTCAGGCTCAGGATGAGGACGGCAGCCCTGTGTCCTCTGCTTATTGGGGGAGAACCTCATTCAGCTTCAGGACTGGGGTGAGGGGCCCCTAGGGACGGCGTAGGGCGGCTAAGCCAGACTGGCTTTCTGAACCCAGAGAGCCAGACAGACGACGGTGACTGGGCCGCTGGAGACGCGCAAGCTCCTGGCAGTGGCACGGGGAAGTCTGGGCCGACACTGTCGTCCTTTAAAATAGACATCCCAGGTGGACCTGCCTTACACTTTCACAAGGGCCTTATTTTACATAATGCGGTTGGGCCCATTTGAGTAAACAGGACAGAGGAGAAAACAGGCCCAGAGCCCATGGGGTAGCTACGCTCCTGCTGCTGCTGGGGGCCGGCACGCCTCGTTCTCTGCTCCCGCCAGTTCCGGCGCCAACAGCCCGCGCGGCGTACGCTCAGTTTCATACTTTGACTTTTAGAGAAAAGCAGCGTAATCGAGCAGCTTATTCCCTAAACTGCGCTCCTGGAAAGCCGTGTTGTGCCCAGCGAGCCCAGATGGAAGCTGCAGGCACGGACCGGAAACCCCAACCTGTAAGGCCGCAGCACCAGCACTGATTCACAGGTGGGGGAAAAACCCTTACATGGTCTTCCTGTGTGTTGACTATTTTACAATCTTTGCAGGATGCCCGGGCACTGAGGGCACAGGCGTGCTGAGTGTCACGCAGGCACTGACCGGGCCTGGGCCGCGTCTCCAGAGACCACTGGGAAGGGATGAGATAGGCCTGTGAACAGGCGACCTTCCCTATTTTTAAGGCTGGGTTCACATTTTTCTTTTTGAATAAAAGATTTATACAAGATCTGGGTTCTCATTCTTTTTAAAAAAGATTTATTTATACATAGAACTGGGGTACAGTCAGGTGCGGGAATTCAGACGGTGGGGGGCACAATGGGCAGGCGAGCCGAGGGCGCTGTTGGGGGGAGCGGTGGATGAGGCGGGTCTGCTGCGCCATATGGGAATCCCATGTGGGAATCTCCCTGGCTGGCCGGGGATCGAACCGGCGCTGCGGAGGCTGCGGGCGGCTTCACAGCGCAGCGCTCAGCCCACTGCGCCACCGGGGAGGCCCCCTCTTTTTGTTTTCATTTGACTTGCCTTAGCTCTCTCCAATAGCCCAAACCAAGCGCAGGTGAATGGTGTCTGGAAGCAAATACTGACTCGCGGCCAGAGAACCACAACACGCGGGCGTCAGACTCTGCCTTGCGGGCCGGTGCTGCCCACACCATTTTGCAGTGGTCCAGGGCGGGCAGCAGAAACAGAAGAAATGGGAAATGGGCGTGTGTCAAGGCCCCGCGTGGGTGGGCTCCTGCAGGGGAAAGGCCGCTTCACGCCTGAACAAAGCCTGGCGCCTCAACTCTCCCCACCTCCGTCAGTTACTTCCAGCATCAGCACAGGGACCTGAAAGGGCGTTTCTGTAACGCATGCTGGGAGGCACGTGCGGTTACAGCCAGAGTCTAAGCTGACTACCTGCCCCACGGTATACAAATAAAGAACTCCGAAGTTTACGCCTCAGATGACAACAGCCATGAATTATGGTGTCCAAATGGGCTGATTAACTTGCATTTGTCACTGTAGGCCTCGTGCAGAACATGGAAACTGGGTAATGACTGTGGCCTCAAGCTGCAGCGGTGCCCGAGGACATGGCAGGGGAGGCGGCCTGGAGGCAGGTCCCTGTCTCCTGGCCAGGCAGCGGGGTGGGCACTTGGCGAGGCTCAGCCTCTGCGAGTACACAGGAGCCCCCGTCTCTCTTCGCCGGTGGGAAAATGCAGCCAGGTGGCCGTGCGGGCGTTACTGCAGCGTCTTGACCATGTACGGGCCTTGTAGCCTGTAGCCAATCTTTCTGTAGTAGTTCCTGGTGCCGACCCCTGTGAAGCAGCGAGAGAGAGTAAGAAAAGCGCTAGGCATAGCTTCAGGAGCCCCCAGGGCAACGGACATGCCCCGCATCACCTGGACTAGCACCTGGAGGTCTGTTGCGGGGACAGCCTTACGGAAATGAGCTCTGACCCGGCCCATCTCCAGAAGTGGACCGGCTGTGTCAGAGCTGCCTGACGTGTGGGAACCCCCACACCGGGGGTCAGCGGTGGGCGTTGCTTTGGGAAGTCCAGTGCTTCCCCCTTCCCCCTCCCCATCGGTGGGTGTGGGTGCTAGTCTGTGCCCCTTTGCAGCATCACCTTGCTCGTTGCTGTCTTCCTAGTGTGGTCAATTTCATGCTCAGGAAACATTTACCAAATACATCCGTTTAGAGGCAAAAAGTTTCGGCATGGCATCAGACAACTGTTAGCTTGCTCAAATCTAGTCCAATTCCTTGGCTCAAACACTTACAATGTAGGAATAAGATTTCACCTTATTTTACCACTTACCGCCTTCGAAAATTTTAAAGTTTTAAGAAAACAGAACTGAAGCTGCCACAGTGGGTAACAGCAGCACCGTGTGTTAACAGACCACGGGAGGAGCCATTCCCTCTTAATGCCAGGACTGCTGGTGCCCGGTCTCACCGCCCCCTGGACTGGTGGCTCTACGGCTTGGGGCAGAGCAGGGAAGACGGGCACCTCCATCCCACGGCAGACACGCCACTCACATTCGTTCTGGGAGATCTGCTCTCAGTGCTCGGCCATAAGCATTTTTTCTGCCATAAAAGATGTAATAACTGGTTGGCAGTTTGGTTTATATCTAATTTAGCTCCTTAGGATACAAGTAAAATCAGTTATGTCTAAATTAGCTCAAGAGTTGGTAATTAACGCTGCAGACGATCGTGAATCACCAGCTGCTTGACCTGCAGGCGGGGGCCGCCCGTCCTGGTGGCCGGCGCCAGCCGCCCTCACTCCCCGCGCACGCTCCCAGGAAGTGCGGCTGCCACGGCTGACCAAGTCATTCTGTGGCCTTGTCACTCACTCCTCCAGGTCGCTCTGTCTGCTCATCGCTGTAGCGGCCATTCTGAGGGTGGAGACACCGCACCTGAAGTCCCGCGTCAGCGGACGCTAAACTGTCAACCTGTTTATCTTTTACAGCAACACTTATGGCCAAGAAGGCAGTGAAACGTCTGTAGCAAAGAACTTATGGCAAAACTACCTAGCGCCATCCCGATGTCCCCACACAGGAAATCAGTCGCAGAACGGACACCCCGGCACTGCCACACGACTGAAGGCCGCACAGCGCTGAGCGCCCACCTGAGGACACAGGCACTCGCACCACACCCCGTGCCCCCCTGCACACCACACCCCACCCCTCCCTGAGCACCTGGGCTGAAGGAGCGGGTGGAGGCAGCGCGCCTCAGGAGTGACCCGCTGCTGCCTGTGCTCAGGAGGCCTGAGGCACCGTGGCCAGCCAGAGAGCGAGGCCCGGGGCAGTTTCTCCCGCCCGCCTGGTGCAGTAACAGGAGCCCCAAGAGGGAAAGCTGTGTGTCATGGAGAAGGGCGTTTGCCCTCTAGTGCTTGAGCGAAGAGGCTGGCGTCCAGACTGATGAAGCCGTGCCCCCCGTGCGTCTCTCCGCGCCCCTTGGGTCCGGGTCCGGGGACAGGCCGCAGGAGCACGAGCGTTCGGAACCGGCCCCCTGGGCTGGGCAAGCGCGCAGCCTGCTCTCCCGGCGTAGCAGGGCCTCCCGACAGTCCCCCGTCACAGTAACTTTCCTCTTGCTAGCCAGCCAAGAAAAAGCAATTATCCTTCAGCTGACGTCAGCCAGCCTCCTGGCCTGACGTGGGCTGCTGCCTCACAGACCTCAACGTAAGCTGCTCCTGCCCTTGAGGAGGGAGGCATTGGGCCCTAGGAGGGGCCCAGCACGCCACCTGACCACCGTGATGCTGCCAGGTGCTGGGGGGCAGGAGTCACGTGTGCTCAGCAGCCGGCCTCGGGGTGCTGCAGGGGGAGAGGGAGGGGGAGCAGTCCAAAAGCCTGCTTTGTTGTATCCTCCAAGTTACTAGCCCACAACAGCGTTTACCTGTATCACAAGGGCCTTTAAATTGGACTGAGTATTGTTCCCCTTACCGTCTGACCGGCTCTGATGCAGGAAGATAACAGGAATATTGTGATTGGCGCCTGGAGTCACAGCCTGAGGTTCATGGCTGGTGAGCGGTCCTGCCTCTGGCCTAGGACATACACCTTTTCGGGGAAATAAACGTTTTGTATGGCCATGAAGTTTAGATATTGAAGTTGTTAAAAATGGGTGATGCTGCAGTCACAGGACGTTGAGGCCACTGCTGCCTCCACCAGGACAGAGGAGCAGAGGGCTCGGCCCATTCCAACCAGGACCCCGCTTATTGCTCCAAGGGGCTGCTGTGAGCTGGCCCGGCTGGGATTACAGCTTTTTTCAGATCCATTTTTGCTGCAATGTCCTCCAGCCCCTCCCTGTGGACAAAAATGCCTGCTTTCTGAGCCCCTCTGACCCCCCCACCCCGAAAACATGAGTCACTGAGCTTAAGGAGCTTGCTTCTCTAAATACTGAGGAAAAAATGAAATCACCCGAAACACAGAGGCCAACCTCCCCCAGTCACTGGCTACAGGAGCAGGTTAATTACGGATTTGCTCGATGCTCTTTAATGAAAGTGAGGGGCAAAATCAAAACCTTTAAAAGGTTAATTAAACATGAAAATGGAACAACCCGAGATGTTTCTGGTTCTGTTTTAGAAAACACGGAGGGAGGAAGATGGCCGTAAGAGTGAACGAGTCGATGTGGTCCCGAACTGGCTGCAAAACCGCCCCTTCCTTCTCTGCGTCCCCGACAGCCCCTTCTACAAGGGGAGTGCAACGCGGTGAAGCCTAAGAATGCTGGGGGTGCACTTTCTCTTTAAAAGAGAAAATAAGAGCAGGAAATGAGCCTGAACTGCACCTGCCTTGTGATCCTGACTAACTCTGTCTGGGAGGAAAAACAAACAACTTTAGGGCCGAGTGATACAAAGTGTAAGCTGCAGGAGGACGAGGCCACTTGCATTTCCCTATGTGCCAGTCACTGCACGCCCCAGTGGGACCTGGTCCCGAGTCAAGGTCACACAGCCAAGAGGTAGAGGAAGGCTGCTGGGCACCTCGAGGTGCATGGAGCCTGTCCAAGGGGCTGCGGCTGAGCTCTGCTCCTCAGTCTAGTTTTAAGCCTCAAGTCTGCCGGGGGGGACATCACGCCTGATAACCTACCGCCCGGCCCGAGCCAGTGCCGCGGCGCCTCTCAGTGCACTAGATGGGCCCGAAACAGGGCCTTGCGTTCCTAGTCCACTAGAGGCTCAGGAAGAAACAAGGCACAAAAGGGGGTGATGACACTGGCAGACAATGAAAGCTCCCCCCCCACCCCAGGTGAGAACTACTGGGGAGATGCTTCTCATTAACAAGCTGATGCAGCAGTCACCTGTGACAGTGACAAGAACTACAGCACACGGCTTAGAAAAAAGCAGCAACCAAGATGGAAACTAGATCCTAGAAGGAGGGAGGTGTGCTGGGAATGGGCAAGCTTACAGAAAGGTGGCCCTGGCAGCCTAAGTGAGCAGGATCCACCTTCCAGCAAAACACAGTTATGAGAACTGCCAGAGACTGCGAACAGCTATGACTCTCGGCGCTGAGGCGGGTCCGTGAGCCTCCCCTCCTGGCTGCGCCTGCTGGTCCCGAAGGGGAGCCGAGGTCCGCAGAGGCCAGGGAGACAGTGCCCGTGGACACGGCCTCCAGCAGCAGAGAACCTGTGGGACGTGCCCTCACCTCACCCCTAACTCAGAGGGGTGCCATGGGCACCTCACCGAAGCTGCCCCCGAGCCTGAGGGACTGAAATCAGAGGCTGCCAAGGCACGGCCCCGTCACAACAATCTCCATTCTGGGTTGTCTCTGGTGGGGTTGGCGCTGACGTGCAGGGGGCACTGCGCAGCCCAGCTCACCAACCAGATAAACCTTCAGCCTGTCCCTGGACAACCGCGCTCTTGGATACCCGGCAAAGGAAGCAGAGCCCCTCCGCGGAGGAAGCGACATATTAGGTGCTGGCAGTTTCCCTGGGCGCAAATGCACTTGCAAAATGCCCGGCAAATAAAAAACATGGGAACACACCGAGACAGACCTGCCAAGACACAAGAGGGCAGGGACATCGGATTAGCTATCGTTTGATGAAGATGGCAGAGCTGGGTTGAAACTTCACAATGCCTGAACGCCACGGGACGCTGAGCATGACGTTCTGGAGCTGAGTAAGAACGCCGCCGTCAGGGGATGAGTTCAGCGGTGGGCGAGACCGACGCGGGAAACTGCAGGGTCAGGCAGGGGAACCAGGACGCCTGGAGGACAGGCGGGACCTCTGCCTAACTGCACACCCAGGAGGCGGGGAGGGGAGAGAAGCGGGGCAGAGTCAGCCTGTGAGGGACAGGCTGAAAATTACTCGGAATTAACCAAAAAGCAACTCAGTGATTAAAGAAGCCCAATGAAACGTAAGCAATTCAAGCACAGGAAACGCACACCTAGCAGCAGCACGCTAAAACCAGGAGAAACAAAGGATAAAAAAATATGCTAACAGATGGAGCGAGCGCGCCTCACAGACCGACCCCTGGCGGCTTAACCACGTGCCGCGCCAGAGGCAGCAAAGTCAGCTTCCAGACGCTGAAAGAATATCGACAAACTCAGAATCCTGTGCCCAGTGAAAACCTCCTTCGTGAAAGAAGCCAGGACATTTTCTACAACCCCAACTGGAATCATCTGCTAAATTCTAATCACATTACTAAATTCTTCTGGCACAAAATAACACCAATGCCCACAAACCGTACAACCCTGCCGATGGCGAGGCAGATACATGGACACATGACGTCGCGGGGCCTGAGCGCCAGCCAAGGACGGAGGGCACAGAGGGCAAAACACTGAACACCGAGCGCACGGCAGCAGTGCTGGCAACGGCTACGTCTTGAGGATTTCACAA